AACTAAAACCATGACATTTTAACCCGACAATACAATAAAATTGTCTAATGTCGCTTAAAAAAGGTGGTATTGTCGAGTTAAAATGTGATGTCGGGTTGTTGCTTGATAAAGGGCGACATCACGACGTTACTACATAATACTAATCAGCCACCATCTAAAAAGTAGAAACAACTCCCGGTTATGTAACCATGATTCAGCCAGATAAATCGGAAAATTACTGCTGGTCTATTAGATGCTTCCCGGTGTTTATGCGATGCTTCTCGGATGGGTTTATTTTTTGAAACTTTAATATGGAAGCGTATAGGGGTCAATAGCGCGATAGATACCACAATATTAAGTTGGTAATATGTCAACATATTGTGATTGTTCTGGTGATTTTATAACTCAAAAAACAATTTTTGCCGAGTTAATTGAATAATTCTCTTTGTTGTATGTCGTCATTTCGTTTTAAATGCACACGTCGACATAGCGAATGGCGATATTTCGCGAAAATGTCGACATATGCTACGGCGATATTGAATATGTCGACAAAGCTTCAGAATAGCAATATCTTAACGCAAACGTGCACATTTAAAACGAAATAGGGACATCTAACATAGCGCGTTGACTCAATTAACTCGGCAAAAATTGTATTTTTAGAGATAAAATCATTAGAACAATCACAATATATTGACATATTACCAACTTAATATTGCGGTATCTATCGCGCTATTGACCCCTATATGCTTCCATACTTTAAAGCATTCGGTAGTTTTCTTGGACCTGGTGGAAATAAATGTGGAGGTTTTATTTCAAATTCTCGATTTTGAGGATTGTGAAAGAGACTGCAAGCACAGTGATGACGAAACGCTAATCTTTACCATTTTCATTTATGTATATTTCAGAATGAATTTCCTTGCCACGTACTTTATTGTTCGTGTTTTAACTGACCGAATCCCTTTGAATGCAACTACAGTTACTACAAGCAGGGGTTTCATTCAGTGTAGCAATGTATGTGGGCAGGATTCGAACGGGTGTCGGGCATTTAAATACGATTCAACAGACATGGCATGTACTTTAATCAGTCAATTTCGATTTTCCGTGGCTCAAGTTGCAAGTACTAAATATTGGGTTAAAGCAGGCAAGTGAATTTATATATAATATTAAATTTTGAAGTTCTAAATATATGATTTTGGGATTAAGGTGATATGCACTGATAATAGATAACGACTGACCAGTGGTTTAGATAAAGGTGCGAACAGGAAGCATGTGCAAATTACAATTTGTATCAGATGAACTGATTTAATATATCAGACGTATATTATTGATTATGTATAATGTACGTCTACTGTGAACATGAGCAAGAATAAAACATTTACTGAAAGCGTTGGTTATTTGAGTTAGCACTGTAGATTTTATTAAAACTTACAATATAAGTTATAAATTAACAATAAACATCCTAGGCCTTATATGAGCGTATGCCGCTGTAATAAAATCCCTGGCAGTTTTACGCAAATTACTACAGTTATTGAGTCCGATACATAAAGGGTTAATTCAATACTTCAAGTAAATGTCCCTAATAAACCTTGAAATGCCTATTAAGAATCTAAAACGACGGCTCTTTTCCTTAATGTCATAATTTGGATATTAAATTTATGTTATAGTCATATGCCCAATAACAGATGGATATGTACATTTGAGCAACTACGGAGAAGAACTATGTATTAAGTTCTATACAACCGAGGTTAATTGGATGGACGCCGCCAGTGATTGTATGTCCAAGCAAGATAATATTATTACACTAAATACTGAAAACAAAACGATACTTCTTTACGACTATATGGTAATCAAACCAAGTAAGTAATTTTACTGTCAATACAAACCAATATCGGCCTACCACTGTTAATTTCAGAGTTTTACCTCTTCCGTGACTATAGTATTTACATAAAGGACATAAACCTCGAACTCAATATTATCCAAAGTATCAACATTACAAACACTTGCCGATCCATTACAATCAAGAGCGGTGTTGTTATCTTGCTGTGGAAATAAGAAGCGCCTTGATGAATGAGGGTAAACGTCAGTACCTAAGTGGAATGTCAAACCGTACTTCCGAGATAGACTGGACTAACCAGGCGCGTGCGACTGTCATTCAATTTGAACTGTTCGCGTATTTCGAAATGAAATGAAATGGGGTTTAACGTCCTAATGAAGACGGCATACGCCATACGGTGTGCTATGAGGGAAATTTTGCCCAGAAAGTGGCACTACGGCCTACTCTTATATCGAATTCCAACTGTCAAGGAATCGAACACCAGACCTCCAGGCTAGCGAGCCAGCGTCTTAACCACTTAGCCACCGTGACACCACCACCCTCCCCACCCGCGTATTTCGACGAACAGAATAATTTAATTACAGTAGAAGTTTTAACAAATGGCTACATAACTTATGCTAAGAGTAATGGATGATCTGAATATCTCTATTCAAGTTGTGTGAAATATTGTGTCTGAGTGTGTGTGTTTACCAAGGAAATGACTAAGCTACTTTCTATTTATTTTGCGTCACTATTTATTACAGGCTACAACAGACAATGGTGGATTGGACTAAATGATGAGTATAGGAACAACAGCTATTACTGGAGTGGTGATCGTGCAGCCCTTGGTTATGCAAACTGGGTGCCGGGGCAGCCGGATTTCTATTTTGTTAATCTCGATGATGATTGTGTAATTATGGAGGATGCGACCCAATCATTTCAATGGAGTGATTATAACTGTAATGTTAATTTGTTACCTTATATTTGTGAATACTTATATTTATAAATCGTAATCAGACATTAAACGTATTGCAATTCTATACCCAAAACGTATCAACTAAATTGACCACTTAAAGTCAGTTGTTCATTAATGCATAGGCCTGGGCCTACTGTTAAGGATATTTTTAGCCTATAGTAAATTTTGGAGTGATCTTTATCATTTTTTATCCTTTGATACCCTAGAATTTAAAATTTGAATTTTTTTCAACAAACACCACCGTATTACGGACCAGAAACTGAGTATGACATTACAGCCATCTTGTAATATCCAAAAACTGAAGTCAGTCAAAAGACTAAAAAACACGCATGCAAATTTCCATGCCGATCGGACATGAATTGGCCAGGGGAAAGCACGTCGGAAAATTCCGATGAACTTTCTCGACCAATGCAGGGATCGAACAGGCGACCGCCACTATCGAGCCAGGTCTTACCCACTAAGCCACCGTGGCCCCCGCAATAACAACAGAAGCAAGATATATAAGCCGGCAGTGACACCCCCCCCCCCCACCTACACCAACCCATGTTTTTCAAGATGTATTGAAATTAAAATTAGCAGTGATGACTTTTCTGATGGTGGTGTATCAGGAGCCCAACAAGACCTATGTCAGTGTTTGAAGGTCTGGTCTAGCCTTTGACGATAAATACATATTTCCTTACTACAGCGAAAAATGTGATCTTGTGATACGAATTTAATACATGGTGTGTTATTTTTATAACGATCTCTGATTATGAACATATAGCTAATTCGATACTCTAATCATGCAGGAGTTGGTTGATGAAGACGACCAAGGCTTAAAACAACTTGTTGGAATAGACATAATATAATTGCTTTATTTGTTTGTCTGGTTATAATAAATTTTGAAATTATAGGAATCCAGCTGGTTCTACATTAAATATTTGCCGATAAATACGAATTATTATATAGCACGCTGTGTATGCCATATTGTTGAACATTTGAATGTGTGACGCCGCGCTTGAGCTACGTAATGAATCCACTAAAACAACATACGAATTAAATTTTCGTCATTATCCTTTTACAACCAGAAATGAACACAAATGGGTCGCAACACATATAATAATGTAATATGAATTAATGAATCTATATAAAATGATGCACATTTAATCGTTTATTTTCGGCGCAATACGTGGAGAGTCCAAATTAAATGTCAGTCTTTGGCGTCTGGTAATTCCAATCTACATCGGTTGTATTCTCCTGTGGGATATGTTTAGCCTTGTTTATCGAGTCGCTTCATTACAAATGGTGCTCGAAAGCATTTTGGCACGCGATTCATGTCAATTCAATTTGTCAATTCAAATCAACATTGATGTTGTGATCTTACCCGAAGAAGATCCAATGTCGAAGACTGTTGATGATATTGAGTTAGCGACTGGCCTCCTTTAATACAACATTCATTCTCGCAACCTCGTTGTAATGTTGTAATTAGCTGAACAAAAAATATATCTGTATGCTTCGAGGAGGGAGGAAAGGGTGGGGTGGGGTCCAGGGGATATTTCTAAAAGGGCTTCACACGGCCTTAGGAAAGCTAAAAGGGCAATTCCTGCCCAGTTTAGAGAGTAAGTAGCCCAAGAACATAATTTATTGTGGTACTGGGAGATTTGTTCAAAAAGTAGCACAAAGAAGACAGCACGATTTCTCCTCGGAACTTGGCATCGGGCTCCATAGGGTCTTTACGAACATGTACAGGAGGACTGCACCACGCATAGACAAAACATTTAAGAAGAACACGTTGACAGGACAAACATAATATACGCAAAATTGCCCGAACTCGGACATTAGGTACCTTATTATAAACTCTTATTACAAGGTTGTAAAAGTAAAAAGTATTAGAATACCAGGATAATTAAACCGATTGCTAGGTTGTCGACCATTAACTCTTATGTAAATTTAATATACTAGATATAAATAAAAAAATATTATATAAAACGAAAGCACACCAAATACTGATAAACTATATACACAGGGATATAGAAATGGCCTGAAGTGTTGTATATTAATATAATGACTAAAGTGAATAAGTTATACCGACAACCCTTTCAAACACTTATCTTGTAAGGTGTGACATAGACATTGGCTTTAATACAAACATAGTCAATATTAGTCAAGAATGAACAATAGAGGAATTCATATCATATAGTGTATATCAACACATACAATGTATTGGGTGTAATAGATAGGCATGTTCCTTTCCTTTTGACTATAACACATTTATATGAAGACACGTTCAAAGGTAGACATATGAAGTAATGGGACTTTGGGGTAGGAGAAATTAATGTGAAACCGTTGAAGGTAGGTTTTTCATAATAATATTCATTAATTAATTATATATAGTTGAAAAATCGATGTAAAAATCTTCACAAAACATTTATGTATGAAATATTAAATTAAATGTTAACGTTTAATTTTTAAAATTCGATGGTGTGGCCCTTTTAAGAGGCACCATTAGAATAATATGTTTAAAAATTTGATACAAATTGGTCAAGTCGTCGCTGATAATATATTGTAGATCTGTCAATATTAATTTTCGGGTTACGAATCTCGCATAAATTCTATTACTTTTCACGGAGTTTAACAAACGTTCGAGTCCAATATTGTGCTCTTTGTAAACCGGTGTTTGAATTTTTCTATGGGATTATTCCGAGTACGAATTTTCTTGAAGAAAGTGATAATGCCTGGTTATTGTCTAAGGATCTTAAAATAAATATGTCCACAAATTTTAAAATATAATAGACTTTATTATATCCTAGACATAAGATGAGTTAAGTACACGATGCTTGTATTTCATGAAACAATTAAAACAGGTTTCCCCTTGTCAGTGATGCAGGACGGAGGGCCTGACAAGGACAGCTGTCTAGTCCTTCGGATGAGACGAAAAACCGAGGTCCCGTGTAAACATTGGAATGCACGTAAAAGATCCCTTGGCAGTTGGAATTCGATATAAGAGTAGGCGATAGTGCCGCTGCCCGGGCAAAATTTCCCTCATAGCACACTGTATGGCGTATGCCCGTCTTCATTAGCCCAGTATAGGAGCAGAACAGTAGGAAGTTAAACCCCATTTCATTTCATTTCATTTCACCTATCTTACCAGTATGTTTGAAAGTTGGAATAATTTGTTTTAAACATATACTAATTGATGGATATGCATATTAATAGTTGAAGCCCCAGTGCTTTAAATATTATTGGATACTGTCCATTGTTTATCTCTCTATGATATATTAGGGGTTTCAAGAGTTGTATTTGCAAGTTTCAATATACATGTATCTGTATATATATATATATATATTAACTCCATACAAAGACTGGGCGTGTATCAATTAATACCAATATTGCTACTTTAAACGTTATTGTCCAAAGATATTAAAGTAAATCAAGTATTTCGCCGAATATAACTGATTAGAAATTACAATTAAATGTAAATCAGTTTATAAGCATTCATCATACATTAATACGGAGCTGTTCGAACCGTAATCGCCCATTTTATGTTTCAAAGAACAGATATTTAGTTTCGTTAAAGTTTGTGACGCAAGTATATGTGTAGTGAGTTCAGTTTGTTTGGCCTCTTGAAAGGTGGTAATACTTGTCTTGATTCATATTACTGTCCTTAATATCAATATTCAATCATTATTAAATGGCATTTACCAACTATGTAATATCTTCACACGCCAGATGCCTCCCATTCCTGATACTAGTATCTTTCTATTTTTCTCTTCCTACCACAACTCGAGTTTCGCATACCCTTTTCGTACTATGAACATCAGATAATCGTTTCGCTAACCACACTACGTTTCTACTACTTTCTGTGCTTTAGCTAATTTATACCATATCCAATATAACTAACTTTTTGACTAATTAAATGAGAGTAAACACATTTACCTTGTAATTTTATACCAGTATATTATTTATGATTGCAATCTTATACAATGTACTTTATTATATTCCTGGGTAGATGAATTTATATAAGCTCCGGCTTGTTTTCAGATCCCACAATTATATAGTGTACTTTTATAATATGTAAATATTTATTGAATAGTGTCAGAAAGAAAACTATCTGTTTGGCCATTATATTTTCTTTTAAATAAGACCCTTAATTCAAACCCCTTACCGTGTTCAGATATAGATAATAGATACGTTAGCTAATAAATTAATAAATCAGTGATAAGAAACATTAAATCTGAACTTATACAAATTAAAGCTTAATATATACTGGGTATAAGTAATATATATTTGTGTAAACGGTGGCTCTGTGAGTAAGACGCTAGTTCATTAACCTAGAGGTCCCTGGACGTGTTTGACCCGCTTTGTCAGTGGCGCAGGACGGGATTATGGCAAGGAACGGTGTCTAGTCTTTCGGGTGAGGCAAGATAATTGTTATACATGTAATTATTAACTCAAAAAAACCTTATATTTCAAGTAAATTGAAAATGTTAAATATAGAAATGTGGTGGTGACTGTTTGGGCATTCGGAACATAAACTATAATACAGAAGCTTTAATTTTTATCGGACAACTAAACGAAATTTCAGTTGCATGACAAAAGGAAAACTATCGTCAGCCCCTTTCTAGTCATAAAATAAAATTGATTTTTAAAACAATTTCTCAGTGAAAAGGTACCAAAATGTATTTTGCTATCAAGTTCTTAAAAACAAGCATATCTTTACAAGTCCTCTATAATTCATAAGAAATCTATTGTTTAAACAAAACTCTGTTGTTATTGAAAAGTCAACAACCATCTCATAGACCCAATAAAAACACTTGTGTTTATTGAACAATAATACATTGTTTAAAATAAAAACTAAAAACTTCACAATCTTTAAAAAGCACTTAACTGTTTTATTTATCTCGAGAATTATGGTAGTTAAGCATGAAATCGCGTTACATTTATTTGATCGTTGTGGTTTGATTTATGTATAAATGGAATGCATCACGTTATTTTAACAAGTAAAAAAGGACTAATGTGACCCAGCATTACAAAATAGTCTTTGTTACGGTTAATTGGAGTGGGGGGCGTCATTGAATCAAATGGCGTGGTTTCGATTCCTTGCTCGTATGTGACAAGGAGAAGTGTCGCCTGTCCAACCGTGTGGGTTTTTCCCTGGTCTTTGATTTCTTCCCATAAAATTGAACCATGATTTAGCCCCGAAATGACAAAGGATATGGGGGGGGGGGGGGGTAACTCCGTAACGGAAGGTTGTGGAACGGTGGATATCAATATGATGAGACCTCATGCATAGTGCCCCAATCAATGCCTCATAACCGCTAAGGGTTATAACACTGGAACGAATGGTAACGAAATGCTGACGGCCCCAATGCCTCACTCCAAATTGGAACAAACACGTTTTCGGGTTAAGGTGGGGGTGGAGGTGAGAAAGATAATCATATCCTTGTAATAACAAGTCAGTAGCCTGGTTTACATTCAATAATCTTAAAATGAATTAGTACACAAATTAACTAAGAGTGCACAATGAAATATTCTAATAGGTATACTGTACTTTATTCATTAGACCCCAATCAATCCCAACCATCCTTTATCCTAAATCCTACTCACGCCACATGTACTAAAAATAAGTCCATTTTAATAACTATTAAGATAACTATTTATCTGGTCTGAATTAACAGCTCATTTAATCACGTTACCACACAACTTTATTATGAATAAATATTTTTCTTGCTAATGCTTTACAAACAAACTCATTATTGATTATCTTTAAACAGCAAAGCAAACAGTCTTAAATTTGTAATTAAAAACAATTGGATCACCTTAAGTGGACATCCTTCTAGAACTAAGTCGGCCCTAACAGTAATTAATTGTTGCTTGTTTTGTACGTACACGATTCCAAAATGGTCCACTGTTCTCTAAATATGGATAGGATAGACCTATCATTTAAATTTCCAGGACTGACTCGATAATTTATCACATTAGGCAGTGTGGAGTTACAACTACATGTTACCGATCCGGGTTATATATTTTCGCCGGGTACTCAGTTTTATTCCCACTGGTAATAACCCTGCCTGTAAGCAAATATAGGACAAATGTTAGTCCCGAAATAATATAAACGTGAAACCCAATATCATTACATTCCAAAGCGATAAAAAGGTACATAGTGTCCCTTTAAATTACCTTTAAAATGTTTTCCCGACAACTCTCTTAGCAAACAAACCCAATATTAACAATCAGTTGTAAACAGATTTATTAATAACTGACAACAGAGTCAACAACTCTAAATCGGTAATTATGTTTAAATAAAGTCTAAACTCTCCTAAATACCATATACATGTTTATCGACCACATACTATAATCTTTGATGTCATTTCGATTTGAAGTTGAAGGACAATATTGTTGTCAGCCATTACCGCATAATGTGATAGATCTGGTTAAACACATTCCATATATAATTTTAACACAGACATCATTGCTACGATAGACGCTTAACGAAGATTTGAAGAAACGGAAGTGACACAAAAAATGGAAAACACGAGTTATCCTTATATGTAACAAGTTTTCGTCTTCCACTAAATAATCAGTGAACTGAAATTCGACCGTGTATCTGTTATCGATCGTTCCTTCAATTAGTTATATATAAGTGTTTTCCACTTTAGACATCAATCGTAGCAATAGTCTCCGTGTTAAAATTATATTCGGAATGTGTTTAACCAGTTCTATCGCATATGTGATAATGACTGACACCAATATTGTCCTTTTAAAGGCCCATCAGTTTCGGATTTAAAAGGCAACCATTCAAATAAACGAAAATGGATCGAAACGCACATGTTAATATAACATGAATGTATATATAAACCCAATTGCGTTTAATTTTTAAAATAATTGTTGTAATTTATAATAAGTTATGTTGGATGAAATACATACACGCAGTGCAAATATTGAATGGGAGTTGTTTGCGCCTAGTTAGTCCAGTCTAAGTTTTAATCTTTTTCTCATTTGTGGATCAGACATTTTAAGTACTTTCACATTGATTTTTGAGATACGTGCATTATTAATGAAACTTGAAACCGCAGAGAACTGGTTTTAATATGTTCATCTATCTGAAATATTTTAGGAGACTATATTTTCACGGTAAGATAACAACATCAATATAATGTCGAATATAATGAACAATACTGGAAAGATCATGCGCCCTTTAGTGGTTGGGTGGTTAAGACACTGGACTGACAAGCAGAATGCAATGAAATGAAAATGGGGTTTAACGTCCTACTGTTCTGTGCCGACTTGGCTAATGAAGACAGGCATACGCCATACACTGTGCTATGAGGGAAATTTTGCTCGGACACGGGCTACTCTTATTTCGAATTCCAACTGTCCATGTGTACACGGGACCTCGGTTTTTCGTCCCACCTGAACGACTAGATAGCTGTCCTTGCCAGGGTTATTATACGTGCCCACCAATGGGTGCACGGGAACCCGCTTTACGTACCATCCAAACGACTTTACGTTGCCCTCTGTCTAAGACTATAAGGAACCACAACGGAAAGCCCGATAAACTTTCTCGGCCCACCACCGGCATCGATCACAGAACCACCAGGTTTGCGAGCCAATGCCATGCTCACGTAGCCACATTGCTCTCCACCACCACCAAATCAGAACACCATGCATTCGAATCCCAGCGCGGATCGGAAAGAACCCTTACAATTTCTCACTTGTAAGGAATGACACCCGTGGGAAAGCCAGTTCAATCTTTCGAATATGACGAAATATCAACGTTGCGCGTATTGTTTTGTAGTACTCGTAAAACATCTCTTGGTAATTGTGGGTTTCAAAGGAAAGTAAACGGAATATTTCTCCTAACATAAAATAAGTTAGTCGATATATACATTTTTGTTGGGGTTTTATTTTTTTATTAGCTATTTTTGGGAAGAAAATTAAGATTAAGATATTGACGTATTGAATCATTTGGTTTATGTACATTGTATTATTTATTTTGAAAAACAAACCCACAACAACACAAGTCCTTGAAATTAAGAAATCTCTTTGAAATTTTATGGGGAAAATCGAAATAAAAAAGTTTGGATACCGAAAATCGTGTCCTATACATTGATTTGAATGTATACCGTAATATAAAACTATTTGGCATATAACAAATATTTGTTTCGACATGGTTAAGTAATATCTTCAGTATATCGATTGCCGTTTATCAATCAAGTAGTACTACATATAACTAAACAAATACACCATCTATTAATAGACGAATCAATCAACCGTGCCTTTAATTGATATCGATTAAGAAACCGATATAAAAAAAAATAAAGGGGCTGTTTCTCGCTTAGTAATCCGTGTCCACGATTTTGCTTGGGATAACGTTGCTGCACAACGCCATACTGTATCTGTGTTGGTTAGCATGTGGTTTTTGTTCAACCAGTTCAAAATTTGATTATTTGTGACAAGTGTTCGCCTTGAAATGGAGCTTAAAATAAAAAAAAACACTTATAGACGAGATAAGGCGTGGTTTGTGTAGTATGTGTTCTTTCGGACATTAGTACTGAACTACACCTAATCAAACACAGGAAGGAAAGGTTTCCGGATATGGAATTAAATTTATAAATGTCTAAACATCCTGATATGGAATTAATTTTAAAAAGTGTCTGAACATCCCTGCAAATCCCTCTTCGTTAAAATTATATATAAGCCACTAATAGTCAAACATCTACAGGGGGTGGGGGGACGAATGGTTAACGCGTGCGCGGTGGATCATACGGTCTAAGGTCTACCATTGACTCAAATGACGTGGTTTCGATTTCCTGCTTGTGCGTGATAAGGAGTAGGGTCGCCTGGCCAACCTCGTAGGTTTTCCATTTACTTCTAAATAACGCTAAGTATTGAAATAAAATTAAACCATATGTTAGCTCCCGAAATGACCTAGTTTGTATCGAGTGAACGTGAAACTTTTTCTCTCTCAACCATCTTGAAATGCGGGCCCGCTCCCTCGAGAGGGACCGCATTTCAAGTGTCACTTCGGAAGGGTAGTGATTCACGTGATATAAATCAACAACTGCTCCTCCTGTTTGGTGACAGTTGCAATACATCAAACGATTCTCTTATTTACACAGAGAGTTTATTTCATAAATCCGATGCTCAATTTAGAGAATAAGAAAGACTTTTATTATCAAAAATACCATATAGATGTTCAAAGCTTCAAACTAAGAAACTTCACCGTAAAGAAGTTAAACATCACCAGGTCAATATTAAGTGATGAATTGGGGCACATCCCGCACATTTCAAATTTCATTTCTATAAATCAGCTAATTCAAAAGTTAGTTATATCTGAAAACCGACGCTTTAAGAGGGTCGCAGTTGTTAATGCCTAGTTCATGTTTAGATGGACGCAGCTCACCAATTATTCCTACGCCATCACGAAATAATTTAGGTCCAAAGTTATTTTTAGTCTTCCTCTCCCTTTCCCATCTCCCCCTTTCGCATGGTGATCTGTGTTGACTTTTTGATTATGATGTAGAATCGAAGAAAATGGTTTGAATATACATTTTCTGCCAGGTTTAGGTGAATATTCGTGATTTTGAGGCAGAAGGATACGAGAGCTATGAGGTTGGTTAGGTTGAAATGCAGGGCGGAAAATTGCATTGCTTTTTGTATCCACTTCCAGTTTGTGTATCTCAAGCTTTCTATGATAAACTTCATACGCGTTTTGGAGCTAGAGGTTGCCACATGCTGTTCCATCTGTGGTATAAAGCGTTCTACACAAAGAAAATTTTAGAAAAAGTTAGAGCCGGTCTACGAGATGAGAACTGAGATTACAGCTAGTGGGGAAATGATGGGTGATCTCTGGCAATATACATAATGTCGACATGAGTAATTAATTCACGACTAAAATTACTTGCCAATACAGAGCTTCATAATCTCTACTTTCTTTCTAACATGTATGATTGGCGACCAATTGGCAGATACTGTAAAATTTTACTATGGTATACCGCATCGCAACACCTTTTAGTTTTCGACTAAGCTGATTTAAACTTTTAACCTGTGAAATTTAATCCCTCTGTTAACTTTGACTAACAATTAATATGTAGTTAATTTATCTAATAGCAGAATGTAGTATATATCACGTAGATAATTTATTGCTTATCAAGTCTATATTCACGTCACGGGTGTTATCTAGGAAAAGTTGAAGGGACATTGCTGCTTTGTAAGTTATAAAGCAGTGTAGTGTGGGGTTGGTTAGCATAGGGTATTGTTGACCACTTGTAATTAGCTATTTTCACTTTCGTTTCCTATATTTTATCCGATTTCTCCGTTTTCCTCCAATTGCTAAAAACTTATTAATTTGTTTTGAGTGACACTCTCCCCTTATAGAGTATGTTTATACAAAATGCGCAAATATTACTCTGCCAAATGTCCTTTTAATAGGAGGACCGGGTCAGTAATGTTGATTTTCACTATAACTATTACTTTCACATACATACATGTAGTCAACAGTAAAACAGGTGAATGTTGTGTATATTGGATATATAATTACGTATACTTTTAGAAACAAGTAAGTTAGTCTAAAAATGTATTTTAAAAGATATTGTATAGTTTAATGCTAATCATCTATATACAACGTATTTCATATGTACGAATATTCTGAAAGGTATGAAAATAGGAAACTGCAGAATTTTGCCTGATATGGATCCAACAATTGTTAGAAAAGGTTGACAACACTGTCCTATATATTTACGGATACGCATCCCTGTTGAAATGGCTTCCAAGTAGGCTCAAACTGAGGTACAACTCGTTTCGTCTTTAATAAAAGGTACAAAAACAAGCCAAAAGTATCTATTTTTTAATGTAAAGATTGTTCTATTGAAGGACATTTGAGAATTAAAAACTATTTTACGAAGAATAGGCTGGCCTGCAAGAAAACGAGAGTCGAATTATCTTTTAAATATATTTGTATAAGGCATATTACAGTGTGAAATAAATAGAGTTCAATGTATACTTTAAATGACCATATTTTTCTATCAAAACAAATCATTTTAGAGCTATTCTTTAATAAATTATTGACACCCTAAATCTTGTTTACTGTAAAATATAACACCTGTATTGCGAGTGGTTGACACATTCCAATGCATAACCTCTAGTTTCTTTATTCAGATCCATAGATGACCACGTGTGGTGTTATTGACAGCATGGACACGATTAAGGCTGTTAGTTTTCAAGAACACGATGTTGACACAGTGAATTCTCAGAAAACATATCGCTTTCCTCGAATTATCCTTCACGACAGCCTGGGAAATAAACTAGATACATACACAGCACTACAAGAAGCAATTTATAGGTATGTATCCTGGGTTTAAAATTATGGAATACCAAATGTGCTACACAAATTGGCGGTGTGCAAAGGTTGCACCAAGTGTTCTAGAAAGAGTGTATGATTTAAAAATAAGTTAGGTACCCAGAAGTCGCAGTAAACATTAACGGATTGGGATGGATTTCACCAAGCAGGACGTCTTAGGTTCTAAATGACACATTTAAAGTGTTTTGCGACACATTAGCTGTCATTCAATTTCGTTCTATTTTTCTGTGATTTTAACTTTACACCGCTGGTATATAAACGGGCCTATCCAGGCGTTTATATGGCGTGTAAACGTTCCTCGTGGACACTGAAAGAGTAGGATACAACAGATTCCCACAGTGATAGCGTAAAGATTTATGATAGAGCTTAAAACGCCCGTTTTCAATGCTAGAATCTATCTGAGACTGCAAATTTTTAAAAAAATATATAACTACCTGAATTGGTTTAATTGCTGAATTTGTTTTTGAATTAAAAATACGCACAATCGTTACAACTGAGATACTTGTATTGACACATAATTATGGGAGAAATGTATAGAGCAATGCAATAACAAAGAAAAGAAATGACAAAATATTTAAACATACATTATGCAAGAGCTAAATCTGTCTATCGCAGGTCTTACTTTAGGTCTGAAATGTTATCTAAATTATTAATTAGACATTAGTTAACCTATCCAGACCATAATCAACTCTACATGGCATCGCTAGCCTGCGATCTTAGTGGATTGTGGGCCGATTTGCTGCATAACTGCCCTTTACGATTTAACGATTAAACGGATAATCGAGACTATGCTGTTTATCGTACTGACTTTAGTAATGATGATCAAGTCTAGGCGGAAATTCAATCGCTTTGTTCTCGGTTCATAGTGGATCAATTTGAATGAAATTTTCATCAAATTGACTTTACATTATCTAGTTTTTAACTATTATAGTGAGAATAGCCAACTCGTTATCGAATCTCCCATAATGTATCTTTAATATTTATTAGATCGATGTTTCTAAGAAAGAGCAAACATCCAAGGTTATCGTAGTTTATTCCAGAGTTAACGAGTTTTAAAATTTCAGAGATAAATGGAATGTAAAACAGACACAGGAAGCCAGAAATCCGAATGAATGGCGATTACCAAAAGCGCCACCTCCAGCAAAACCCGATTTATCACGACGAGGTGTCCCCGTTTCTAGACCAACTCGACACAGAAATTTTTATTGTAAAGATGATCTAGATATAAGTTCACGATATAAGAAGGTGTGTAAAACAAGACTGTTTAACTTGATGTTTGACATTTGTAAATGGAAAAAAGTAAAAGTGATTACAACGCCCAATGTTCACTCCTGGCAATTTATAACGATATGCGTATAATGCCATGACCCTAGCTTCAGCCATAGCGCTCGTAACAATTCAAGGCACCGGGATGACCGAGACTTGGCTATCTTAATATTGATATATCCCAATTCTTTAAAGCGATAATTTCAAATTTTCTAAGAAAGGTATTGATAATTATTAGTCTATGTGTTGCATAGATTGTCAAACCACTATTATACAATCATAGAAATAATTCTAGCACTAATCACACATTCACATAAAAAATTGAAATATGTTCTGTTTGCCTACGGCACTTGGAGATTGTATCATTTTTGACTGAAAATCGAAGTGTACGTAACGAAATAGGCGATTGCCCAGGTATGTAGTTAAACAGATAAGTATAATGATGCCTGATTGACCGAGGCAAAATTACCCCACTTGTTTTAATTCTGATGGATAAAACATATTTTAAGGCTTTATTTTAACATACTTTAAAAAATGCAACTATCGCTTTAATATTTAAATCAAGATTTCCATATAAGTGAACCGATTCATTATAGAGATGCAATCCATTCCAAATGATTTTAGATTATTAAAGCGTGACATGCAAAAATATTGACTGGAGCAGTTTCCTCGAAATGTTCCATATTATTGCAACTATTGCTGATACAATGGCACCCTGAAAGAATACACTGTCTCGTGAAGTGAAATGGTATTTATAACGTCCTGTTTGTATGGACCAATCGGGTTAATGAAGACGGCCATACGTTATGCACACACTGATCAGGAGAATTTTCGCTAGGCCGCTACAATCACTGATAAGGATGACATCGATGCGACTTAATGAGTTCCAAATATTAACTTTTTTCTTCCGTCAAATTAAATTCTAAAACATTTTTTCATTTATTAGAAAAATAAATAAAGACGTTTGAATTGTTTGTAGGTAAAATTCATTTCCTATTTAGTGTAAATGGGTATTAAAATAAGTAAAATTCACCATTTAGCCCGAATCAGTAACGTCTTAGGTAAACAATGCACGCGCTATTGAGTCAATGATTGACGCCGCGTGATGTGACGTCACGTGTCGAAACAGTCATCTGTAACAGAGATATTAAAAGATCTCTGTGAATCAGATTGCGTTATGCAGTGTACCTTGAGGTAAAATTGTGCCCGGACAGTTGTGTTTCCGAATACTCTTCGTCGAATTCCAAGCGAATTTATCTTTTACCTGCACGCCAATGTGTAGCAAATATGAGGGGTCAGTTTCGTCCCATCTAGACCCTCCGCCTCGCCCCACCAAAGCAAATCCCATGAAATATCCCGATAAACTTCTCGGTCACCACCGGCATCGAATTTTAGACCTCTTGCTTAGTCAGTCAGCGCCTTGCTCACCGAGACAAATGTGCTCCCACTGCCTCACAATATCGACACCCATTATTCTTATATTGTACATTAACCTTTACACTTATTCGACATATTTTTTTTATAGAACTTGGAAAATATATATATCGCAAAGAAAATCAAATATCGATAGCATATTGAATTTCCCCAGTACAAACACATTTCTTTGAAGATATTGAAATATTGACCCAAGGAAAATATCAATGAGCACGTCTAGAGTGCTCATAAATATTAAATTACTTAAAAAATACATACAGATTTTACACCTGAAAATATCAATTATTGTGATATAAGGTTGTTTTTGTTTGATTAATCTCTAAAATAAAAAAAGAAGGTTATTTTAGAAAACGGTTCAATAACATCAATACATAACAGCGTGTGATATGCAAATAACTATTACCAAAATGGATATAAACAGTTGTATAATAAAAGTTTATATCCATTTTGCTAGTATTTGCATATCACACGCTGTTATGTATTGATGTTCTTTAACCGTGGATTACGGTGGCTAAGTGGGTAAGACGCTGGCTCGCTAGCCTGGAGGTCGGGTGTTCGATCCCTGCTTGGCCGAAAAACATCCATCCAGATTTTCCGGCGTGGTTTCCCCTTGTCAGTGATGCAGGGCGGAGGGCCTGACAAGGACAGCTGTCTAGTCGTTCGGATGGGACGAAAAACCGAGGTCCCGTGTTCACATTAGCGTGCACGTAAAAGATTCCTTGGCAGTTGGAATTCGATATGAGAGTAGGCCGTAGCGCCGCTGCCCGGGCAAAATTCTCCTCATAGCACACTGTAAGGCGTATGCCCGTCTTCATTAGCCCAGTTTAGGAGCAGAACAGTAGGACATGAAACCCCACTTCATTTCATTTTTCTGTATAATAACACAAGTATTAAAGACGCTGATGGTCATTTACAATACTATGACACTTGAATATCTAAAAGTAATAACAGCATTCCAAAAATGGTTCTTATTCATCGGACACTTAAAAAGACGCGATGAAGCAATATGTTGCAACATTCGGAAAGCGTGGGAAAATGGGTTTATAAGGTCCATTCATTATTAAGGACACAACAATTTGAATTTTTCTTCTTAGGAAACTTTTATCACAATTTGACTTCCAGTTTAATTTCCTTGTTGAGAACGCTAATTCAAAAGCACTTGGTTATTCTTATATCCAAAACTTTTAGTTCCAAAATTATTAGTTTTGAAATAACATGTGCCTATTTATGTTTGGAGACCCTCAAGAACTTACAATTAAACATTTTGTGTCTACCAGCTTATTTCTTGTCTAACGTTTGGCATATTATATTGATTGCAATAATGATTATCTTGCATACTATATAAATTCTCAAAGCCCATTAAAAAATCGTCTCTGAATTGATACAAAAGGCTTTAACATTCTCCTTTTCAGGGTTTATTGATACGTAAACAACCGGTGACATTTCAATTCAATAACTCCGGGTTCAATAATTTCAAATCTATAAATAAAACCAAAGATGTCAGTGTGTATGTGTGTATGTTCGCCCATCACGCTTCGCCACCTCGATCTCCCCCCCCCCCCCTACATTTGTGGTATCGAATTAACAAGCATAGCTCCGTGAATGTTTTAGGCCGTCGAATTTGGGTCCAGGGCGAATTGGGCCTGGGGTCCGGGCAATGGTATCAAATAAGTCAATCGAATTTGAGTCCCGAGTGAATTTATACCCTAGACAAATTGGGCCCCTGGAAAATTTGGGCCGCGATGAATTTAAATAACTCAGAATTAATTCATTTCAAAATCAATATAATTCCACGTATTGCTTCTTTTGTTCAATCACCATTCTGTAATAAATTCAAATATTTATTGCCACCACAATCAAATAAATAAACTGCAACTGGAAATATTATTTATTACACCCCTACGTTTGAAGTTATTTGTCTAGAAGTCAGGACATATTCATTGAATAGGTTATGGGGGTACATGTTTATTATATTTGACACCATTTTGAATCCTATAAATAATTAACACGGTGAACATAAAGGGAATGAAACAATTTTTAAAATAGCAACGAGTCTATGGAATTCATCTTTAATTCTGTCTCTAGAAAGGCTAACTGGTATACATAACAACATTCGTTTGAAGCAGTTGTTATATAATTGATGTCATCAAGAAATAGATAATAATATACCGATATGCCTTATATGACGTATAACTAAAAGTCTTTCATAAACAATAGCGAAATGAAATGAAAATGAAATGAAATGGAGTTTAACGTCCTACTGTTGATGAAATTTGTATCATCAATTAATTGAAATATTCTAAAATAGTACAATTTGTTGACCAGAATAAAGATTGGGACATATTATTCAGTTACAACAAGAGTGGTATTGAGCCTTTAAATATCCATTTATTACAATAAGCTATGTCTTTATGTTATTAATAAATGGGTGTAACGTGTTTGTAATGTGTTATTAGAACAGACAGACACGCCCAGTCTATTTGACATAACAAACTTTCTAAGGACACAAGATATATGCCAATAACAATAAAGGGACATTAGCATACTTTGCACTTCATGATGTAACCTATGTTTTTTTTTCATTTTCCCGTTTCTTTGAGACCGAGGCAGGGGATGTTGAGTATGTAGCAAAAAGGTAAATAAAACTTACAAAATCGTAATATGATTATATCTTTTTTAGACCTATATAAACTAATATCAGATGTTGGCACATGGTTGAACATGTATATATTTATTTCAAGAAGAAAGGGATATCAATAAATATAAACAAGTCATAGGTTCTTTCACGCTTAGGTTCTTGTCAGTGTAATGTTAACCTTTAGGGAAGTGTTATGTAGGCTAACTCACGAGAAGGGTTACACTTGCTGACTATATATAATGCACTAAATCGACGAGATACAATCCTAAGATCGAAATCCCACTGACGGATATGTATCCTCAGTGCAACGCTTATATATAATGATATCATTTAACCACTAACACTCCTTTTTCTAGTTGTTTTAAATATTACAATACATGAATTTATCTGATTTTAGTTTAGCAAATCTACCTTCATTTTTACAAACTAAATTCCATGATGGCGAGGAAATGGTCGGTCACAGACATTATTTCCAGATTGCGTTTGGTTTATTTATGGAGAAGAAGTTTTTATCAGAAACAATCAAGAAAGATTCCAGTTACGTCTTCCCGGGTTTCTGTACTGGTTGTAGACGGAGTGGACTGTGTTACGGCTGTGAAAGAAGCGCTTTACCACAGTAAGTTTTAATACAAACATAATACGATTGAACGTCTCATCGGTCATATGGTCATTCAGTGAGTAAGACGCCGACTCACTAACCAGGAGGGATTCGATCCTGATGTTGGCCGAGAAAGTTCTCCGGGATTTTCCAGCGTATTTTCCCCTTGTCAGGAGTGTCTAACAAGGACAACTTTTAGTCTACATGTGGGCGTACACGCAAAAGAACCTTGGCACTTGGAATTCGAAATGGGCAAAATTTCCCCTATAGCAAACTGCATGGCATACGCCCGTCTTCGTTAGCCTTGTAGTTGCAGAATAGAAGAGTATAATATTTAGAGTGCATTACAAAAATGGGATTCGGTTTAACGTCTCGTCGGTGATAGAAATGAGATTTAACGTTTCGTGGGGGCAACAGAAATGGAATGGGGTTTATCGTCCCCTCATCAAATTATCTGGGTCAAATTGAGGCTAAGATAGGTTATATTTTAATTTGAGATATGAGAATTTTGCCCGTATAGCAGCATTTCTGTCTTCTCTACATGTAATTCATGTCGCGGACTAAGTGCTTTGACAACACGACTAAGGCGATCACAAATATGTATCATAAGGAACTGAAACGATTCCTTTTGTATTTTTTTCAGTACTCATCGGGATTATCAATCCAGAACTGGAGGGGGGTTTACTTATTGGAAACATGACAGAGCTGAATCAGAGATTAGTGGGAATAATCCAAAGAACTGGAGACTTCACACTACGTCAAGTTCAGGAGATGCTATTTCTAGAACTAAGTCGGCTGCTACCGGTAACTCTATCACTATCGATAATACTAAGGGGCGGATATTTGACATATTGTCTTTAATAACAGGGGTGGATACTGGATGGAATAATATCCGCCCATTCGTCTTCCAATTCCAATTAGCAATCCCCCACCTCTTACCATTTCACACGTAAACAGAGAAAACGATACATATATACATACAAAACAAACATAAATTTCATGAGACGATACACGCAAACCCATTTCGTTTCTTTTTGAACCTTAAGAATAAGATGTAATAGATAGGCTTCTATATTTTAAATTATATCATAGATTGGGGATTATCACTGTCAATTATTTAATATTATAAACAACCAAGAGTTAAATTTGAAATATTGAAATTTGACTACAGTAACACGGTAACAACGTTGCATAGTAGGCATACGAACGCCAATAAGTCACGCATGGTGTTCAGTAACAATATATTTGTTTATATCTCAGTAGATAATAGTATAATGTCTGTTGATATTACGCTAATATTTATTTGATTATATTTTACATATAATATATTTGTTTATATTTTATTTGTTATATATGTTGTTTATATTGCTATTTTTCCTACTATAGAAATATTTGTGTTCATATTTCAGCTGGTTCTTCAGTCGAGGTATATTTTGTTGATGGCAAGAAGAGATTAGTGTTAGGTAATGACGGCGGGGTACCATTAGATGATCAAACTATTGAAGAACTATGCACCATGAAAATATGTAAGTTACTATTTGTGTACAATTGCAGGTGTAAATGCAATATTTAAAACCCGATTGCGCATCTAAGCTTGGGATTGAAGCAGGGTCAGGATAGAAATAATTTTCTGGTGGTACAGCACCCTCCGTACTCTTTTTGCCCAATTGTACTCCAATTTTCAGCAGCATTTCACCATGACTAACTTTGGTTTCAGGGGATAATATTATCGATTCTGATTGTGATCACGTGTTGTATCAAGATGAATCTGGAGTAGAGATATTGATCCACAAGAATAACCTCCAGCAGATACTAGCCTTGATGCCACTGAATCACCCTGATAGACAAAAGATATTGAATTTATTAGACACAGAGTCACAATCATCAAAGAGGTTGTCAATAACATTGGATGTGGCTAGCAGAATGGGTACTATGACACCATCATCACTCGGTGGAATGTCAGATGAAAAAGGCCATTTGATGGATTTTATAGGTTTGTATACTTTCTGTATGACACTGTAGCAGAGAAATCGCATTTAGTTTGACTTGATTTTCACAGACAAATATAAAATATTACATCTCCAATTTTTGATATTGTGTATATCTATCAAAATTCCCGTTTATCTGCCCTTTTAGGCAAAATTTAGGTATGGCCCATGCATACCCAAGATTACCACCCAGTCTCCCGTTATTTCAAGGCAGATAACTCTTATCTATTTTAGCAGGATACAGTCTGGTAATTCTCTGCAATCGACTTCAATGTTAAATCGATGACATTTCTTGGACTGTAACATTTATTTTAAACATCCCGAGAATTATTATGTTTAATAATAATATAAAATTTACGTTTGTCATAACAATTTATCGCGAATTGTCGACTGACTTTAGAAATGATTTATAATAATAGTTCTAAATATTAGTTCTAATCGTTGCAAATCATTTGTATATTATAATGGTTCCACATAATAAGTTAATAGTTAATATTACTAACAGAAACATTAGAAAGAAGAAGAAGTTCAAGTATAGATTCTAAAAATGAAGGGTCATCCGCATCAAGAAAGGATTCTCTTTATAAAGGTATAGTAGATATTGTTTAGTTTCGTGAATACCAAATCAAACATACATATGGGAGATTAGATAAAGAGCTGACAGTTCTCACTATACTAGTTATAAACTAGATTATGTAAAGGGGAATTGCTGAAAATTTCAGTCAAATTGGTCCACTCTGAACCGAGAATTTAGCGATTGAATTTTGGGCCTAGACTCGATCATCATTACTAAAGTCGGTACGACAAAAAGCATAGTCTCGATTATCCATTTTTGATTTAATCATGAAGGTGCGTTTAGCAGCAGATCGAATTATAATCCAGTAAATATCGCAGACTAGCGATGAGATGATTATGGTCTGGATAAGTTAATTAATATCTAATCAATAATTTAGATAACATTTCAAGCCTAAAGAAAGACCTGCAATTGGCAGATTTATCTCTTGCATAATGTATGTTTAATTAAAATCTTATTAATTAGGAAAACAGAAAAGGTTAGTGGCCTGGAATTTTTCATGAGTTAGATTTGTTTCGTTTATATTTGCATATTTTATACTGCACTCTAACTTACCTTAGTTTCTATAATAACCGTGTTTTGCCAGTTACATCGACCGGTTTAAATTCCAATTATTCTCCACAATATGGAGCCCCGTATACCAATACCAACCATTGATTTATTAGTAGGTTCGCGTTATCTGAACACCGTTTTTAAAGAAAGTATGTATGTATTTGAACTGGATTAAGTAGAGATACTGTTATGAACAGCTGGAAAAACTAACCAACACGGGTAGTACATGCTTAGCAATGTATAAATCGTTTCAAAATTTGTGATTGGTTATATTTTATGTTTAAGCTCCAAAAGCTTTTAAATTAAAAGCGAGAGAAAGAAAACAGCTGATAGCTCAATCCCCTTTCTCCACGAACAGACAGTATGATATACCTAAAGGTCCCGGGTTCAACATTCAAAAGAGTACAAAAGAATTAACACAATTTGTCAATGTTAAAAAAAGAGATGGAAACTGGGAGGTACGTTATAAAACTATTTTGATTTTAAATGAATACATATCGCGTAATAAAACGAATATACATGCGAATATTAGCTTCTATTAATTTCACTCAGCTACATTTAGAACAAAACAATAATAATAATTATGAAACATAAAATAGTTTAGTCTTTATTAATGTATTTTTGTTTACTCGGGAGTGCTTAAGTTTAGTATATTAAAATAACATATATTTAGTCGGGTTTCTTTGGATATTTTTTGTCATATCGGGAATAGTACACAGTTAATTTCAGATACTTGTATCAATCCATTCGTGAACGCTAGTGCTTCATCTTGGGATTTCTGATTTTAATCTCAATGCCCTAGATGAAGCATAACCGTTTTATTATTTTTTAACAACTTATATTAAGGATATCGTCAATTTTCATTCCCTTAATTATTAGAAAAAGTATATTACCTTTATTTTCAGGAACCAGAGAAATTTGAATTACAAAAGTATGAAAGGGAAAATGCCGATTTTATTAGAAGACAAAAAAATGGGGATAACACGAGAAACATGGTAAAGGATTTCACGCTGACTATCAATAAATTATAAGTAATGCCAACTTAACCATCAAAATTATATTACATATTACAACATGCCTGTTTCAAAGTGACCGAAGTATTGTGTTGAGGAGACATCAACTGACATGCACTGCGTTTCTACAGCCCGATAAACTGATGTAAAGTAATGCAGTGCATAGTGAAAGGTCGTAAGGCATCCTTAATTATTTTATATTATACTGTACTGTTTATTTGTAGGAAGTCTATTCTTCCATAGGATGCAGAGGACGGGTGGTGGGTAGGTGGGTGGTGGGGAGGTGTGTGCGGGTGTGTGTGGAGGGGGCGGGTGCTCCATTGTTGTGGACTATTTGCACTTATCCTTCCATTATTATTTTCTAATTTATAGAATGGTCATCACGATGATGAAGAAGTAGACAGAGATAGACATAATAGGTAATTTTCTTCTACGTTAGCTTTAGACGTATTGAAACAAAATGGAAGTTATTGTTCACGGGTTTATCAATAAACTAATTCATTTTTGTATAATTACTCATCATGACGTATGACGTGTACGAATAATGTTCTGTCAAAATGATATTTTACAGAGTGTTAAACAGATTAGATGCACCACTGTCTCCTGATTCGGGTCTGGACAGCGAATTCATGGCAGGTAGGTTGAAACAGATGATTTGGGAGCAAACGGTTGAATAAGTTCTTGAATAAGACACAGCTGGGATTAGGTATTCAGAGATAGTGCTTCTAGGTCAAATTAATGAATTCTTTGTTATTTGCTTCGGGAGATGAAAACTGATTAACCGATGTAGCCACAAAGACATAAGACTTTTTATTACTTTATTCACGTTCACAGAAATAATTTTTAAATCTATTTTTTTTAAAGATTCAGTTAAGGGGCAGACAGTTGATAGTGACGGAGATGATATTACAAAAATGAAATCTTTAGACGGTAAGTCTGTCATTTGAGAAAACATTTTAATGTTAATTTTAATGTTTAAAAATATAATAATTAGATAATTAGACTCGAACTTCTTCTTACTGAATAGCATAATTTTCGTGCGCATATTGATGAATTTGAGTACTAGACGGTGTCGTAAACCACGTGTTAGTGGTTCAGGACAGAAGTCAGAAATGCGTCTAGTTGTTCTAATTGACCGAAAACCCAGGCCCCGTTTATACCATTGCATTGCAGTAAAAGGGAAAACAATTATTTCAACGCCGCTCTCAAGACAAACCATTCTCCCCATTGCTCACTGTATGGCGTATGTCCTTGTCCATGATTCCGGTTGTTACGGGAAAGTAAGACGTTATACCCAATTCCAATTCAAAATGAAGATATGTTTAAAAGAATGTGTATTGATGTGAGGAATTTGAAAGCAAATAAATTTATTTTGACATCAATACCCACTTTAATCTCTCCTAGCAAACTGAAACGTGATTTATATGAAAATAATTGTGCAATAAATCGATCAGAACAAATTTCAAGTAACGTTATTGTGTTTTTGATTCATAGTTAAATTGGCATGGTATGGGTGTGTTCGGGTGGCATAACCCGATTGCTTCATGTACGCGCTCCGCTTTAATATATTTTTTTACTTATACAAACCCGTACTTGATCCTAGCAAAACGCTAGATGATTAATTTACAATACGTATGTAGTCTCTAATAATATATAAATATATAGATATCAAATTACATATTTGTTATACCAGTGTCCCCAGGACTTGGCGGTATCTAATTTCTACACCTATTCACTTAAGCTGTTGTATATGTTATAATATCAATTTTAAAGTGGTACTTGTATGTTTCTGGGATGCATAAAATTCCGTAAATAAAACTTTGGTATAAAGTGGGCTTATATATTAAAGTAGTAATTTTGAGAGAAATGAAATAGAGTTTAATGCAGCAACGCCATAGAAAAGGTTCTCGGTGCTCGATCGAAAGACGCCTTTCGGTCTTTTTACTAACTTTTGTTAAAGATCACAATGGTGGAAAAAAGCGCTAAATTGAAATCTATATATATATTTGTGACTGTCGTTTGTCTTTCTGTCTGTCTGTCTGTCTGTCTGTTCGGGGTCGGCGGCTACACTAGGTCTGCCCCGAGTCTGAAATTTGGAGTGGCGTTAGTCTACCACTTCCGGTTTCGGAGTTATGACCCCCGAGCGAAGCCGGTCTGTTCGGGGTTGGCCGCTACACAAGGTCTGCCCCAACTCTGAAATTTGGGGTATAGGAATAGCTCGGACCGGGGAGTAACATAGGCCAGGTGGCGTTAGTCTACCACTTCCGGTTTCGGAGTTATGACCCCCGAGCGAAGTCTGTCTGTTCGGGGTTGGCGGCTACACTAGGTCTGCCCCGAGTCTGAAATTTGGGGTATAGGGGTAGCTCGGACCGGGGAGTAACATAGGCCAGGTGGCGTTAGTCTACCACTTCCGGTTTCGGAGTTATGACCCCCGAGCGAAGTCTGTTCGGGGTTGGCGGCTACATCTGCCCCGAGTCTGAAATTTGGGGTATAGGGGTAGCTCGGACCGGGGAGTAACATAGGCCAGGTGGCGTTAGTCTACCACTTCCGGTTTCGGAGTTATGACCCCCGAGCGAAGCCGGGTATCATGCTAGTATTAAATAATTGCATGTATACAGGTTATAAAACGGGCGATGTCAACGTATATTTTAGCTCGTGTTATATCTAAAACATTCATCAGTAGTAGTTAATGTATAGAAGTGTACAGAGTGTAAAATTTTATAGCTCTTTTTATGAAAAGCTGTTTATTTGCAGAAGTTTAACGATTTAAATATCTAAATACAAAACGTTGCGTATTTACACATGTCATAGTTATTAATCAAAGTCATTCATCTAATTAAATTATCTCATGTAGCAGTGTCCCTTTAAAATATATCAGTGGTACAATGAAGTGAAGTATCGTTAATAAAATATTACTATTAACAGTGGCCTAGTTTTTTTAAGTATATATATATAGATATTACACATGGTCAGAGCGTAAAGCTTAATATACGTGATTTTATCTTTATAAATTGTGTTTGACTGATAAGTACTCTTTTTAGAGTATTGCAACAGCTATTTTTAAAATATCGTTTATTTTATGATGCGAAGTGTACACCTCTTGACATTCAGGATTATTTGATTTCATGTTATTGCAAAGGGCCTTGTCATTCACGTGAATACTATAGGTGTTCAGTGATGTATTGGTGTACTGTTTTTGAATTTTGCATAGGAGTGACATCCATTATGTTTGCAGATGGAAATTGTTTAGTATGAGCTAATAGTCAAAACAATACGGTGTGCGAATCGAAATGTGATTTACATTTACATTGATCAAAGGACATAATTTGTATAAAATGGTTATGTGTTGATTTAAACTGGTGTACGATATTGTGATGTGTTTATAGCTGGGTATTTATGAACATGAAACGTGTTTTGATGCATTTAGATCAAAAATAGAAAATCCATCAATATCAACAGCGATATGCTTAATATATCTAAAACACCTGATACCACTTATAATTTGTCTCCTCGTGAACCAGGCTCACATAGCTAACACTGAAGAGATTTGTCATTCACGTTGACATTACGGATTATCTGTGTTGTATGAGTGTACAGTTAGTTGTATATGTGGTGCAGATATCCTGCTTTCGTATTTAAAGAGCAACTTATACCCGACCGTACACTGTGGTGTAAATTTTACTATAAGTTAGTTGAAGAAGTTTTGTTGCATTAAGATTATAATGGAGCAAGCTAGATTAACATCGTTACATATAAGAGGATTATCATCTGATGATAGTTCTATGATTGGCGAAGATGATTCAACGGGTAAGGGCAAGGTGGTATATCCGGTTGTCATGAAATTGTATGGTATTCAAAATTAGAATGATAGGGCGTCGTTTAGTATAACCGTTCTCTAAATGAAAATTATATAAAAAAAAAGACGCTGTCGTCTTCAGTTAAAAATATATCAAAATAGATTTTTCGAAAAATCTAACCCCTCTCGGACCTTTGATAGCTCTGTATGACAGGACAGAGCTAGAAGCTTATGGTGTTGTCGATCAGAGAGTGGGAGGGGGTGGGCAGGTTATGATTCTTCCCGTTCAATCACATCTATTTCAAGTACAGCAACATGGCAGCCCGTTGTTTAATCTGGGGTCTTCCCTAAAACTTTGGACAGTGATTTAAGGTATTAAAAACGGTGAAAGTACATTGTTCGTATCCAAACATTATTGTTTACATTGTAACCGTTGATAGCATCGTTTGTCACGTAATTTTCTGCTATGCACTGGTTAACTGTGCGTAAATATTTCGTGAGTCGTGACATAACTTTATTTAAACAATGTGAAGCTCTGTTTAAACCCGAATGACATTGTTACGCAGTTAAGCATTGGTTGTTAATTGGACAAATGACCAGTCATAATTTGGAACAGAAATTTGTTTTCGTTACGGCAGTGCTTGAGTGGGATTAGGTCTAATCAAACGAAACACTGCTAGGAGTAAGGCACCGTCTGGCTCAGGACAGTCAAGTGGATTATAAACTGAGCGAGATGGATTATATTAACCGTTCCTTACAAATGACAACACATATCAAATAAGGAAGTTAATAGACTATATTCCTTTTCAGATGCCGAGAGAGAAAATGGATACTTTTCTACTAGAACAGGTATTTCCGATGGTTATTCAGGTAAGATTGATATAAGTAGTTTCAAGGATTATTTGTCGAGCGATCATGTGCTTTGGCTGTCACTGACTATAGCAATCGGTGTGTCTGTGTCAAATAATGATTGGTGTATTCAAATACTTACGCCTCTAACGATTCTAACATGTATGCTTGCCTGTAGCATGAAATTAAATAAGAAATGAAGATCGACGATTCATCAACACAATACACTTAAAGTCATTTTGAGATAGTCTATACTCTAGTACGAATTCCAAGTGTTAATGGGGATTTTACGATAGACCTAAGTGCATATGAGTGGACTTGGTTTTTTCGCCTCCACCAGATACCTGGGTACAGTTACACACATTACAAGTTGGTAACGGTCTTGGAAAGGTTCCGAGGGTTTGTTCAAGCCGAGCCCCCCCCCCCCTCACGCCCTTGACGCTAAGTCTTATTAAAGTTATTGCACATAAGGTGGGTATTCAAACGATATTCTTTGTTGACATTTAAAGATTTTGGGAGAAAGATTGATGATCACAAAAGAGTGAAATCAGGCAGAGAAGAAACAGGTGGGAGCTTAAATGGAGAGACAGATGTAATGTCCAGAAAGGAACGAAAGAAGAGAGATATTATTAAAAAGACAAGACAAGTTGAAGGATCTCCATTTTCAAGGGTAAAATTATCTAATATCTGTTCAGTTTAGAATTCATGAAAACTTATTAGATTAGTTGTACGCTGTCTTACATGACTGCAGCAACGTGGTTTAAATTAGAAAAATGAAGTGAAATGAGGTTTAACGTCCTACTGTTTTGTTACGAGTTTAAATTAGGGAATGGCATGCCTGTCTTAATCAGTTTGTAAAAATAGATTTCATCTGTTGCTCCTACCATTACTGTCTCCTCGCGACTGTGATAAAAGGTCAAATTCGATTTCTGTATTTGGCAGTGTAAGAAATAAAATGGGGTTTAAAGTCCTACTTTTCTGCACCAGAGGTTTTTCTTTAGCTGGCCATGCGTCCTATACCACTGAAAAGGGAACACCCTGCAAACTGGGATATTCCAAGGAACTTTCTCCGCCTACACCCTTAACGACCTGATTAGTCAGACAGCGCCATTATCGTTGAGCGACTATGGCCTCTGTAACACTGAATGGGGTTTGAGTGACATGATGTACATGAAGTATTGTACAATAATTTCATTTTTTTAGAGCTCTTAACCATCTTGTTTTATAATGAGTAGTTTACCAAGTTTGATATTTTATTGAATTGAAACTTTAATCATTTCTTTAACGGTGACAATATTTACGTATATTCTTTTGCAGTCTCCCACCAAATCTTTACCCACGGATGACGAAAGAGAACTGAGTTTTGTTTTTGAGAAACGAAAAGATTCCGATACTGGTATTAAAGATGTCCTGGGTTTACCGTCACCCCATGTTACTATGACGACACCCGATTTACCACAATTAGAACAAAGGGTAGGCTAATTTATTGTTGAAATGTTAATGACCACTGCTATATAATTATAAAAAAATGTCAAACCCTACGCTCAGGGTTCCACTTTAATTTTGATAACGACCACAATATCTTGAATTTCAATAATCATGGTTCTAATTAACCTCGGTGGGACTGGAATTAATATTGATTTTATAACTTTGGCCAATAATTCTAGCTGTAACCAAGTCTTTAACGCGAGTGTTTGGTTGATGGGTTCATGATATACCCGACAAAATACTATACTTATGTATAAGACTATTGCACATTGTTCAAAGCAAAGTATTCCGTCGTCTCGTAGCTTCACATCTCGACTTTCGGGTTTTTAACATTAATCGTCAGTGGAATATAAATTCGATATATATAGCTTTATTCATATAGATTTATTCCATGTTATATTAGAATGTAAAATTACAAAGATTTAAGAGTAACCTTTTTACCGAAACAATATATTTGTCAATATCCTAATCGTTTTAAATTTGACCAGTTATGTGCTGATTATGATCTTAATACCCTTTCGTCTTTATCGCCATATCTCCAAAAACACCTTCTTTCAGACGTTTGAAGTTTAATTAATTATGTTACAGGCATTACAAATACATGATTATCATTGTTTAATAAGATATCGTGATTATATAAGTTGGGACAATGTGAATAGTACTTATATCAAATAAATACAACATTTACATACGCTACATTCAATTTTTAATGTTTGCAATTCTGTAAATAGTTTCGGCTTATATGTGTATATCATGATCTTATTACTGAATAAAGCATTATTATTATTATTATGTATAGACTTAAAATATTCAACATAAACGATAGTCATCCTATAAAACATATAAGGTCAATTAAAGAAATTGACAATCTTATTTTTGATCAAAGTGATCAAGTCATTTTAACTTCAACATGCAGATCACTGTGTGGTGTTGATAAAATCCCATATTTTATTGTAGAGACAAGAAGAATCCAAGAAAAAGAATGTAAAGTATAGGGTTAAAGCGCCACCTGTGATGAAGCAGCCACCAGATCCTCCTAAAATACGTAATCCCCCACCTAAAATTAGAACACTGTAAGTAACATCATCGTTTGAGTCGACCGAGACACAATGTCTTTGTGTCAGTTTAGTTTTGAAGAGCAAATTTGCCTAGTTGGAGACTACATAGACAATATAGTCAGGTCATGTAACGAATGCGATGTAAGTAATACTTAATGGAATAACAGGAATGTTACCAGACATTGCTAAGCCCTGTAGACGGTAAGAAGAATCCAAGAAAAAGAATGTAAAGTATAGGGTTAAAGCGCCACCTGTGATGAAGCAGCCACCAGATCCTCCTAAAATACGTAATCCCCCACCTAAAATTAGAACACTGTAAGTAACATCATCGTTTGAGTCGACCGAGACACAATGTCTTTGTGTCAGTTTAGTTTTGAAGAGCAAATTTGCCTAGTTGGAGACTACATAGACAATATAGTCAGGTCATGTAACGAATGCGATGTAAGTAATACTTAATGGAATAACAGGAATGTTACCAGACATTGCTAAGCCCTGTAGACGGTAAGTAGATAGATTCCCGTTGCTAATGGTCTATTTATATTAGGATAAATGCTTACGTTTGTGATGATGGATGCCGTGGTGGTTCCCTAGCCTGGAGTTCTCGTGTTCTCTCCCGGTGTTAGCCGCGGAAATTCTTTGGGATTTCCCGGAGTGGTTTTCCACTGGAATTCGATAATATATGACGTTTACCCGTCTTCCTTAGCCTAGTTGGCGTCAATCAGTATGTGAAATTCGACCAACGACTTGTTTTCTGCTCTCAACAGTGCTGCAGTTGGTCTTAACGTGGGATTTCACTGTAATATGTTCGGATGGGAGGAAAACCCGAGGTTCCGTATTCACGTTGGCGTGCACGTAAAAGATCCCTTGACAGTTGGAATTCCATATAAGCGTAGGTCGTAGCACCGCTGTCCGGGCAAAATTGTCCCCACAGCAAACTGTATGCCCGTCTTCATTAACCCAGTCAGAGCAGAACAGTAGGAATTAAAACCACATTTAATTTGATTTCAGTGTAATACGATGTCAGACTTTAGTATGGCGAATATATTCAATTTGGGGGAATATTATTTAATTAAACGAAAAAGCTAAAACCAATTTATAAATGACCCATATCAATACCTATAATATACTCTTAAACAAGGTTTTTCATTTTTCATAGTCCCAAAATGAAACTGTCAAAACGTAGACGTAAGCCAGCAGAAGCTCCCGTTAGTGCTCAAGGCTTAAAAGAAATTCAAGATCCTTTAGATTTCTTAGCAAAGTACTGTATTATCAAGTAAGTAATATATTTGTAGCAAAGTGCCACTTTGTTAATAACCGGTACTGGAAAGTACGAAAAACATTAAGTTACTATTGGACTATCAGAATTTAGGACTAATACACAAGTGGAAATCGGAAGTGACTGATAACGTGATCCATCTTTGAATTCAAACTGCCCGGGTATCTTAATTGCACGTGCCAGTCTCGCCCGAAGGCGATGATAATCGGATATCCCCAGCGTTCTTCCTGGCAGGTGAGAATTATCGGTTTTATAAGCCCGAAGTCTTATGTCATATAATAAGTCTTGTTCCTATCTGCATTGAAGCAGCAATTTTATAACATAAAACTTAATTGGATTGAAATTATACATTTTGAGCAAATGTCTGCATATAATTATTGTAGGCATGTCCTTGAATTTATCAAACTTAATAGTTCACAAGTGTTATTTCATCTTTCAGTCCTGTTCGGTTACCGTTTTATGAACTGATCTTCGAGGCGGCAGTTTTAGAAAATAAACCAGAATTTCCAGTTCCATATCTTCCTCAAGTCAACGATGACGAGCCACCTGTCAATCATGCCAGTCACCAACAACAATCGTCACTGTCACAGCATGAAAAAACAATGATTAAAGACATGACACTTGTCAGTCATGGTCTACAACCACCATTAGTGGTAAGCTGTTTCGGCTGCAATGAGAAATTGATTTGAAGAATAGGTGTATATGTAGCCTTCCGGCACCTATGGACGATGTTCCAGTTGTTCATTATGGGTGTATTCTCGAAACGGATCTTGGTGGTTTTAAAAGTCCATTTCCACACGTTAGAGATACAAACGACTATAATGTTGAGGGGGTCCCCTTCACGAAGCGTATGTAAATTTATGGTACTCAAGTCTTACCCGTGCTTTATGAAACGGGTACCAGGGCCCGAAAAGGAACCAATTTGTCAGATCTTCAATCTACAGGTTGGCAAATTGATATACAATCGGGTGCGTAAAAGATCCACCCACAGCAGTTATACCGTTATTATATTGATGCTGGTAAAATCATGATAGCATTATATAGCATTACATATTCTAACTTAAATGTTTTATGTCATTTAATATTATTTCATTTTACGCCTTTCCTTATCAATATTGTACAGTATTGTTTCAATTCCTCCATGTTTCAGGGTTATTCTGTGCCAGAACAATGTCTAGAGAAAATGAGCTTCACTATGCAAACACTTCATGGTAAAAAAGAAGAAATGGAAAAGAAATTGATGAATTTAGAAGGTAATACCGCAGGAAATATTCTATCGTTGAATATGATTAAAATGGCAATGTTCATAGTGTAGGTTAATCCGTGGATCCAAGATAGACGTTTATAGTTCGGGTGTCTCAATTTGCACAGGTTTTTTTTAGTCAATCACACGAACTGGCCATGGCCCGTATCTTGAAGAATTCTTTTGAAAATTAATCATTTGTAGAAGTCCGTCGTTGGTCAGATTTAAGATCGATGCAAACCAAACCAACCAAATCAGCGTGACGTTGTTTCACCTGGTGGGGGGTGGGTAAGTTGGTGGTTTAACGGGCGCGTGAAATAAAATAAGGTCTGCCATTAAGTCAAGTTGCGTGGTTTTGAATCCCCACTTGTACGTGACATGGAGTAGTATCGCTTATCCAACCTCGTGGGTTTTCTCCTGGTCCTCCCAACGCACAAGCGAATTATTGAAATACAATCGAACTATATGTTAGTCCCCAAATGACTTAGTTTGTGTCCAGTCGACGCTCTCTCTCTCTCTCTCTCTCTCTCTCTCTCTCTCTGCTGTTCCTGGTGACCATGGCTTTATTTACAAAATGGGATTCACCTTGCCCATAAATCTGAAAAGTCTATTTTTCTTTTACAGCTAAACGAATAAATATGCTCGCAGAGCTAGCTAGAGAAGAGTTCCCAGGAATAGATGGTATGATTTATTCACCGAGAAAAAAGAAAGGAAAACAAGTAAACGTTTTATCATTTTGATTTGACCCAATGGAGCTGCCAGCGTCTGGTTAACTGCATAATAAGCACATACAGTAATTCATTAGATATCCAATGAAAATAGAACCTCGAGATAGAAACGGTGTTTAACGAAAGTCTGGCAAGTGTGGTGATGGGAAGGGGCAATAGAGGAGTGAGCTGCAACTGCAGTAATATTGTCTCGGTTGGCATGCATACTTCTGATGTAAGAAAATGAAATGAAATGAGGTTTAACGTCCTACTGTTCTGCTCCTATACTGGGCTAATGAAGGCGGGCTGTGCTATAAGGGAAATTTTGCCCGGGCAGCGGCACTATCGCCTACTCTTATATCAAATTCCAACTGCCAAGGGATCTTTTACGTGCATTCCAATATATACACGGGACCTCGGTTTTTCGTCTCATCCGAAGGACTAGACAGCTGTCCTTGTCAGGCCCTCCGTCCTGCATCACTGACAAGGGGGAACTACGCCAGAAAATCTGGATGAACTTTCTCGGCCAATGCAGGGATCGAACACCCGACCAGGCAGCGTCTTACCCACGTGATCCCCTCCGATCTAAGAAGGGGTTTGGACAAATGATTAGTGGCAGTTTCCAAAATGTCTGAGGTGGTTTTAGACAATTCGTCAAAAGATTCTTTGTTCAAAATCTCCATACCATTGCCTAATTTAGTGTTTGAAAATAATGTTTCAGAAGAAGCCAGAACCAACCAGTCCAGAACAAGATGGGGAGATAACTGATGAAACTATTATTGAAAGACTGGATAAAAAGAGTTTAGCCCAGGTTAATGTTGCCTATTTTTATTCGTTCAATGCAGGATTCTTAGGCTTTTTTTGTTGAACCTCCGGACCAGTACAGAATTGGGCCTACAGTTTGACACATCTTCCAATTTATTTGATATTTTTCATTTTGTAAGATGTACATTAGGTATCTACGTCAATATTCCCTATGAAAAAAGTATCTTCTAAGTGGACTATGTACACGGAATCCAGTTTTTTTTTATAATCCAAAGACTACAAGGGAACATGACTTTAAAGAGACCGGAGTAAAAGAAATAGGTCTACTATATTTTTTGTAAATTGAACTTGTATCCCACTTAATAGATTCATCAAAATATATGACTTTGTATTATTTTCCCTGTTTTTAGCTTTGTTCGAAAGACGATATTCGACATGTTGACATAGAAATAGAGAGAATTCATCAAAAGATGAAAGACGTTACATTTAGACAAAATCAATTAAAAGGTAGGGTTCCGGTATACCAAGCAGTAACTCCGAAATCAGTGAGAGAAAGGTATCTCCTGAAAATGCTATGTACTATAGCTACGTTTTTTAGAAATATGTTATCAACCAAAATGATATTATTGTACAAGACTTTAATGGTACATATCCTTTCTGTTCCTACATAACAGTATCTATGGCGCGATAACTCGATCTACGTTCTACTTTTGTTTCACCTTTTCTTCGTAACAGCTTATCATTCCCCTCCTCATGCCGGACAACAAAACCACATCATAATGACAGACCTAAATCACAGGCTAAGACCCCTCGCCACCCCCAGACCCAACCTCCCAGCCCTAACCCCACCCCCCAATACAACAATACAGCACTTACGATCTCATGAAGCAATATTGTACAGAACCGTACGTGTCAAGTGGGTCAGTACTTTGATGATCTCTTGTTCTGTTGAATATTATACAGCATAAGATAATTACACGTCTTTATTTGCTTACAATAAATAAATAGAGTTGATGTTAATAGCGTGTATAACTGTATTTGTATTTGTTTGTTTTTTTCGTCAGATGAAAGGAATATGTTATTGGGTTACTGTGAAGACGATTTTGTAAATAGACAATTTACTGAGAGACATTCTAAAGACTTCCGTCGTCAACAGAGTGAACTGTACAATACATTAAGACCCACACCGGTAAGTAAATATCATTATTTCAAATAACGTACGGGCAATGTGTCAATCTTACATCATTTATACTATATGGACGATTGGTTTCACATGATGAGTTGTTTAATAGTCTCGAACAAGACGTTGCGTACTACTGACGCGCTCGTGCAGTATCTATATTGACGGGCTCGCGACTATTAAAACACACTAATTAAGGATTACCTGAAAAGCTTCATAAGTTTTTTAAATAATGCAAGTTATTTTGTCAACATATCCTTTTCATAAGTATAAGACGAACCCGAATGTCAAAATTACCTGCAACGGGTAAATTTCAACGTTAGTAATTTCCGTGATGTCATTTTAGTCCTCCTGCTCATAGAAATATAGACTAGAGGAAATGAAATGAAATGGAGTTTAACGTCCTACTGTTCTGCTCCTAACTTGGGCTAATGAAGACGGGCATACGCCATACAGTGTGCTATGAGGGAAATTTTGCCCGGACAGCGGCACTACGGCCTACTCTTATATCGAATTCCAACTGCCAAGGGATCTTTTACGTGCACGCCAATGTGTACACGAGACCTCGGTTTTTCGTCCCATCTGAACGACTAGACAGCTTTCCTTGTCAGCCCCTCCGTCCTGCATCACTGACAAGGGAGAACCACGCCGGAAAATCTGGATGAACTTTCTTGGCCAATGCAGGGATCGAACACCCGACCTCCAGGCTAGCGAGCTAGCGCCTTACCCACTTAGCCACGTGATCCCCTAGACTAGAGGAAACACATCAGGCTAGACAGTCAGTCCTACAACCCGTTATAACACTCGAACGGCCAAGATTTGGTTAAACATGACAGCCCGATTTGACACTGTGTTTACTTGCATCACCCAACCCTTATCGATAAATTGCTATATTTAAAATAAATGTATTGTTAATATATAATTATCAGGATTATGAGATAACGTTGGATAATCTACGTGAATCTCTACAACAAGTCAACAATCATCTTTTAACAGATAAAGAATGTGAATTTATATATCAAGTAAGTAGAATAATTATATTGAATACTGACTAGGTTAAGACAGCTAGAAAAACTCCAATCTTCCAAACTATATTACCGTTTCGTTAAGTAACTTTTCTACTACTGTGCATTATAATATACAGTCGCGGTGACTCAGTTGGTAAGACGTTGGCTCGCTAACCTGTGTATCCCGTATTCGATTCCGGGATTTTCATGGGGATTTTTCGGTGGTTCCCTCTTGTTAGTGGTGCAGAGCGGAGGGCCTGATAAGGGACAACATATAGTCGCTCGGAAGGGACGAAAAACTCGTAAAAGCTGGCTTGACAGCTGGCATTCGAAATAAGAGTAGACGGTTGTGCCGCTGTGGGGGAAAAATTTGCCTCACAGCACACTGTATGGTGTATGCAGGTACTGATTTGTTCAGCCGGTGTAGAACAGTAGGGCTTAAACCCCATTTCATTTCATTGCATTTCATTGCATTTCATTTCATTGCATTTCATTGCATTTCATTCTTATAATGTACTGATTGTTGTAAACAAAATCATTGTTATTGATAAGGTAGTATATAGAATAGAACATGGAATATAAAATGAACATTCACACAAACAGAGAGAGAGAGAGAGAGAGAGAGAGAGAGAGAGAGAGAGATGAAAATCCGCTCGACACAAACTAGGTCATTTCGCATATGGTTCAATTTTATTTTGAATAATTCGCGCTGATGTATTTAGCATTTGGAGAAAACCGGGGCACCCGGAGAAAACCAACGAGGTTGGACAGGCGACCCTACTCCCTGACACGTTAAAGAGGGGATTCAAAACCCCGCCATTGGACTCATTCGTTAAACCACTAGACCACCCAACTTCAAAGGAGCCGAAAACTAAAATTTAATTGTAGAGTAGACATTAATTCCGAGGTACCCTCCCATTTCGACTACATTCCAATCTAATTAAAACACAGATCCTGTTTCGTTTCGTTTTTTACAGTTTAAAATTTTGTTTTACTTGTCTTTACTACACTGGGATCTGGAAGAATTGTTATATAACCCACGTTCTGGATGTGAGAGATTAGCTAATGAAACGGGTACGGCGAGGTTTTGGCGTGAGTTGCACGGAACTGTTGGTAACACACTAGAAACATCAACGCTGATTGATTAATCAAATGTCTGACGTCAAAAGTCTCGTATAACCTCTGACGCGACCTCCCACTACAACTGGTCAGATCTTCGTGTAGATGAGTCCATCGAAAGTATAAAAACGGAATATTGATCTGTATTTTAATCAGACTGACTACATCGTATTTCGACTACTGTTTTTAACAACAGATTATACGGTCTAGTGGTTTTAATAACCCTTCATATACACTCTCTCCACAGCTAAAATAGATTCTTCCATAAAAACACCCTATTTCAACTACAGCGTATAACAACTGAATCTTGCGTATAACAACAGAATCTTCCATAAAAATATCGAAAAAAAAAAATACAAAAAGCCACCATCACTGTTATTCATTTTAAACGTAAAACAATGTTGTTGTGTTTTTTTTTTTTTTAATATCTTATTTAGTTTTGTTGTTATTGTTTTTCCTTAAACTAGGTATTGGATCTTCCTGGAAGAGAAAGAATAAATTTCCGACTGTTTTCTGTAGTAGCTGCTTTATCTGAAAAAGTTACACAGCTTGAGTAAGTACATTGATATTCTAAATTATTTAACACTAGCTGAAAATGTCTGGACCCGTTTGACCCAGCTATCATGTGGGTCATATTTTCAATTCTCTGTTGTAAACAGGGAGCCAAATAGAAACTTAATTGACACCATTTCGCGCGAGAACCGAATCAACAGATACGTAGATAACTGGCCCATAAAACAATGCAAGTTTCAATCGCTTGAAGTTAAATATCTAAATCAATATATTTATAATGTTATTTCCTTATCAATAAAGTCCTGACAAAATGTAATCACTGTGATTTATTAAAATCATCAATTTCCTGACCAACATGTATAATCATTGACTAGATGCAAATCTGAAATGGTCATTTGAATAGAAATTTGTTAATGTACTCTAAATCTGAAACAAAACATAAACACTTGAGTCGACCCCCCAGCTCTACATAATTATTTTGATGACATTCTGTATTCCATGCCCACAATGTCTTTTGACAAAGTAAACAATTGACATTAAACATACAACAGTAAAAAGTGTTTGTACAAAATGAAGTAAAGCTCAGTGGCCAAAGAAAATTATTTTGAATTATGAATAATATGAATGGAATTGTTATTTCTAGCCCAATGATAAGGAGGTTAATGAATAAACATGATTATAAAGCATTGGATATAAAGATGGAGAAATGTAGGGTAAGAATAAACTGTTTAAATTATTTTGTTTTATTTATTTTCTCCAGGATCTATTTATGTATACATGTTCTTACAGAAAATTGAAAAATCTCTGGTTTAAATTTACATAAATTAAAACGTTTTTACAAAATAAGATTACTCATTTTAAAAATACACATGTTTTTGTTCAGGGTTAGGAGAGTTAACCTCTCAGGACTTTACGAGGACTTACGTTATCTGGGTGACACCGCACGTAAAAAGTATCCCTTAGCTGTCGAATTTTAATAAAGGGTTGGCGGAAAGTTGAAAACACCACATTCATCCACATGTAGTCATTGGAATGATAATCACGATATGTTAGTCTCAAAATGACGAGACATTGATTATATTTGCGTGTTACTTTGTATTTTCAGGAATTATTTAGCTTTCTAGAAGATGATATTGCTCCCCCAGGGGAGGCAACTGCTACAAGTTTAGCTTTAGAATTAACAGCTGGTGGACTTACGCCGGAACACACAAGTTATGTAAGTAAAGGATTAAAACCACATTAGATTTTCCGATTGACTTTTTTGTTAATGGAGATATCTTTATCTCAAATTTTATCAAATTACTCTGGGGTTGGAAATTTTGAGGTACATTTATTGGAAGCAGCAATTCAAGATAGTCAACACATTAACTGTTTATGCTATTAAAATCATTTATATTCACCAAAACCGGAAACATTCGTAACCTTTTTGTGTGGTCTGATTTAATAGTCTTGGGTTGAGCGGTATATCTATCCGCACAAGTCACAACTGATACAATATTTACCACAGTGCAAAGATTATGTTTGGTTCAGTGGTAGAGTCAGTGCCTTGGTTATAGCTAAACCATTAGCAGAATCGGGGTCGAATTCGTGGATATATGACAGTCAACAGCACCCACCCTCCATATCCGTATTTAGGATGTAAGAGAGGAAGAACGAAATCCATAATTTTCATTTGGGAATCCTGACAATTATAAATCAGATTATCTAATTCTAACTCAATTATACATTTCAGGTTTTAGGAAAGTTTAACAGAGAAGGTCGGGGTTTGATCGATTTTATGGATTTTGTCACCTATATACCACTGTTTGTAGAAATACATCAACGTATAATTAAAGATCCACTGAGTGAAGATCAAGATTTATAAATTCATTACTGCATAGGTTTCACAAAGACAACTGCACAATAAAATACAGACAATACAACTAATACACAAATATCATACAATGTGAAATAAATTATTGATGTAGGTTCAAATTATGTCAGGAATTGCACAATGTAAACTCACTCACCACTGAATTAAATAATGCAGCGGACCTTTGACATGCTTTTAGGCTCAGAACTTATCATCACAGAGAAATCATCAACCCATGTAGACCAATCATCAACCCATGTAGACCATATCAACTTTATTCTAAAGTTTACATTGAAACGTGGGTACAAAGGGTTAATATCTAATGGTCCATCTCAAGTGGATCGTATACTGGACACGATCGGCCATCTCAGGATCAGGATGGCAGTGTGATGACACCCAAACCATAACAACTTTATTTTAAAGTTTACAATGAAACGTGGGTACAAAAGATTAATATCTAGTGGTCCGTCTCCAGTGGATCCTATACTGGAAACGATCGGCCATCACAGGATTGCAGTGTGATGACACCTTAACCTTCGCGCGACGGCGTTATCGCGTGTTTCAAGATTGGCATAATGTTGCATCTTCCACAGAACTGTAGGAGTTGTACTGGTACTAGTTTTCCTTGACAAGACATTTATTTTACCACATTTCAATATTAACATTCTGTTGAATTAATTTTTTGAGTTTTTGAAATAACTGATCATGAAGACATAACGTTCAAATGTTATCGCCGTGTTCGGATGTTGTTACATTCAGAATTGCGAGATTTAAGTGTATCTCTCAAACCAGATTTGCAATAATGCATTTGTTAAAGTGTTGTATTTTCATTGTATCTCATTATAGGTTAAATTTAAAAAAAAAGTCGTCAATCAAATAATTATCATAATCCAAAATGTATACCATGATTCCCCAGAATCGCTGTTGATTTTTCATAAACAAATTTAAGTGTATCTCTCAAACCAGATTTGCAATAATGCATTTGTTAAAGTGTTGTATTTTTATTGTATCTCATTATAGGTTATATTTAAAAAAAAAGTCGTCAATCAAATAATTATCAATATCCAAAATGTATACCATGATTCCCCAGAATCGCTGTTGATTTTTCATAAACAAATCACCAATAAATATGGAACCCGTCTTGTAACCAAATGTATAAATATTATACATTAGCTAATGTACGTCAATCAATAGTGGTATTTACATCACTATTTGAATTATACTGAGTATACTGAGTGCTGCCCTATATAGTTATGTTGCTCAGGTAATTTGCTGAGCAAATATAGGCCAGCCTCGGGTACGTGAAACAATTATGAATCAATGCATTATAACTGCTTTAATTTAATAGTATAAATTGAACACATTGTTTAGATTGTTTTCCAGTTTTGGTGAAATTTATTTGTACATAATATAAAGTAGTCTATCCGTCCCGTTTATTTTTATATGTCTGTGATATTTGTTGCATATTACACTTTATTACAATTGTAATTATTTATATACTTGAAATACAAATTAATAAACCGTATATATTATATTAATTTGTGTTGTTACTTAAAATCTAATTATCGTTCCGTTTTCTTCATTAATAATATCCTTGACCTTCATTAGACAACCAATCACATCGGACAAGTCTTTCAAAAGTGTTAGTAGAATTTTAGTTATATAACTGTTTCTGATAGGTTGTAACACCAGGAGTCGACCAATCCAATTCTGATCGCATTCTATAAATAAATGTCAGGAAAATCAAATCAGGGTCAACGACCGAATAGTAAAACGAAACGAAATGTTGGTATCAATGAAAGCTTTTTTCACCCTGGCTAAAAAATAATCTGAAAAATAACGGGAGATAACTTAGACTAATATTGCTGGAATCGGATTGACTTCCTATTCCAGAAGTTTCAGAAACATCGATCATTTATAAATGAGAAGGATAAAAAAAAATAAAATTAAAATGGCGGAAAAGAATTAAAACATGGCGGGAAAATAAAGCGAGATAACTTTGAACGAAACTTATATTTTTGGAATCGGATTGACCTCAGCTATTCGAACATTTAGGTCAAATTTGTAAGGAAAAAAATGTCCCTTAAACAGCTTTGTCAGCATGAAAAACTTTAAACTGGAAATTCGAAATTATGAAATTTTCAAATAACAAAAATTTAACCCCGAGCCAGGCTATCCAGAAATGTTTGAATGTCCGAAATAGGAGACGAATTCTCCAATCTACGGTCGATTCTGTTTATATTCATATTTAATTTAAAAAGGTGACAATCAGTTGACCAAAATTTCAAGATAGATGCACTTCCGGTTCGATCGACAGAAATACAGAAAAAAAATTCAAGGCAATCTGGCCAATTAGTTTTCGATTGTTTTAAAACTTTGACCCCTAATTTCTCCAAGGAAAGATAGAGAATTTCTAATGATATCGTTCAAGTTGAATCAATCAGATCTACTTACATTCTATATTTCATGAAAATCGTGCCTATCATTAAAGAAGTTGTCAAGTTGGCTTTATTTCCGGGATGAGAAAATCCGCGAGGTTGGACTGGTCAGGCTATCCTACTCTTTGTCACGTACATCCGGGGAATAATAGAATTTTAAAGCGAAATCCTTGGACAATGGGAAGCCAGTGTTGGTCTCGAAGGACGGGAGAGATGTGTTAACGGAGACGTGTCCGAGTCACAAGACGTGCTGCAGAATTTTGAATTCTTTATAGTATTCTCGCAGTTCTTTGTCCGGGAATCTATATAATAGACTATTACAGAAATCTAATCTAGAGGTCACGAAGCATGAACCAATTTCTTACCAGTAGACTGATCCAGCAGTTGTCTAATTATCCCTATTCGCCATAAGCCAAACGAAGCCGCACTCCTCACTGTGGAAATTTGTATCTGTATCCAAATATCACTCCTAAGTCACGCAATTTGATCTTTGTGGCACCATTTCGTAAACGTACATCTGAAGTGCTGACTCGCACATCCGCCGTCATTTACTTGGACGAAAACCAGACAAGCTCTGTCTTCCCATCATTTAATGCTAGCATATTTACCGGCATCCAACGTCGAATTTCATCCACACAGGTCTCAATAGAAGCTTGAACGGTGTGAACCATAGTAGTTTCACGGCAGATGTACAATAGGGTGTCTTCGGCAATGGGGAAACTGTAGTTTGTGGTAAACCGTAGTCCAGACGTGTCTCGTCGGACACAATTGAATTAATTGTACTAACACTCCATATGCGACCCCGAATAAACGAATTTATCCAATGCGGGACTGCTCCCCAATTCCAAAAGGTGTTTGCAAAGGTTGACTGAGAATATGATGATCAATTGTGTCGATCTCTTTTGCACAAGGATGACGCCACGTTGATTATTGGGTGCTAGCATAACGTCGTTTTGCTCTCGCAGGTGGGCGGTTTCAATACTATCCAAACGCCTGTACGCAGACTGAAATTATAAAACCAACGGCTGTTCGTTTCGTGAAAGATAGCCATTAAACTCTGCTGAAGCTCCCTTTTCTAAAAACTCATTCAGAAATGAACAGTTTGATAGCGGCCTATAATTTGTCATAATATTTCTACGAAGAACAGGTTATTTCGCCTGTGGGCGAACAACTGCAGTGTTGCAAGTCCTTTGGAAAATACCATTTTTGAAGGACGAATTAATTATGTGTGTAAGATCAGGTGCCAGATATTCAATAACTCTTTAATTAACGATGTCGGTAAAGGATCTCCAGAAAACATTGATTGATTTCATTAACACTCAACAATTCAAAATTCAGTAATTGAGAATTACAGGTAGGTAGACAATTATGGCATTAATCACTGCGGTTAATTTGTGCCAAACGTTTTTGACAAATTAAACTTAACCGCAACCACCCAAATTTGAACAGAGTGTAAGCGCTATGTGACAAATGGGTTTTAACGGTTCACCGTGTTAACATATCATCTAAATAATGTTGATGGAACTTTTATGAGGTAATTTCAATACGACCATCAGTTGCTGTGGAATCAGACCATCTTTTGGAAGTGGAGTTTGTGTTATACGTTGAAAAGAAGTGTTGTTGGAAGTGGTTCTAAAGTGAACACTTCGCTTAAAGTGTTCCTAGAAGTGTGTCAGAAATAAACACCCAAGTGGAATTTTTTAAACACTTGAATGGAAGTGTCTATGGGAGTGGTTCTAAAGTGAACACTTCAAACGAAGTGTTTCTAAAAGTATGTCAGATATAAACACTTCATATGATGTGCATATTTCAATTGCGTGCGGTTAAGCGCTTTTAAAGGGTATTGCGTAAGTGCTATGTTGCAAATAGGTTTTAACGGTTCATCGGTTTAACATCTAAATAATGTTGTTGGAATATTTAATGTTTCAGTATGCGTGCTCAGTCACGTTCGCGATATAAAACAATGTTCTCTACTGTGCTATCCTGGCTGACAATGTGAACTTGTACCTCAATTACGTATTTATTCAAGCGAAGGCTTTGTGGCTGCTCTGTTTAAGGATGGTGGTATTCGTAACATGAAAATTCAATCATTATCAATTTAAAAGTATGTTAGACCTAGAACAAATGCTTTCGACATCTGAAAATGAATCCAAGCACATTACATATATTACTAAATGTCGCTGTGGTTCATATCAGGTTTGGGGGGGTTGGATGGCTGAATGGTTAGCGTGCGCGCGCTGTATCATAAAGTCTGTCATTGAGTCGACTGGCGTGGTTTCGAATCCCCGGTTGTACGTGGCAAGGAATAGGGTCGCCTGTCCAACCTCGTGGGTTTTCTCCGGGGTCTCCGGTTTCCTCCCACTGCTAAAGACCCCTACGCGCAATCGAATTATGTAAATAAAATTAAACCATATGTTAGTCCCGAAATGACCTAGTTTGTGTCGAGTGGACGTTAAACCCCATTTCTCTCTCTCTCTCTCTTTCATATCAGGTTTTGAACACGTTATGTAAATGGGGTAAATTGCCAGACGAGTGCACATATAACATTTGTGATGTGATTCACAGAGGTGCGAGGACGAATATCTCGTTCTTATGTTCTAAAGGGGGGGGGGGGTAACGTCCACTCGACACAAATTTCGATACACCGTTCATTTTGTTTAGCGCGTAGCGTTCTTAATCAGTAGGAGGACCCGTGGAAGATCCGCGTGGTTGGAGAGGCGACCCGCACTGTAAAAAATATCCATTTCTTTATGTGGCCGAATTCCGTAATTTAACACCTTTTTTCTGTTAATCGATGGACTTTTTGGAGAAATTGTGTTAATAGTGTAAATTATTTCTTCAAATTACGTGTTTTATGAATTTCTGTGGAATATCCAGTATTAAACAGGAAATTTCCGTGAAATTTAGGGATAAAATGTTTCATTCCCTTCTATAATGGACTTAATTCTGTAATTTTACGGAATAAACGGTGGATTGACAAGGAAGTTCCTTGAAATTTAGGGATAAAATGTTTTATTCCGTTCTGTATAGGACTCAATTCTGTTATTTTACGGGATAAACGGTGCAACGATAAGTAATCGTATACATATATAATCATTCCTAATAATCATCATGTTATAGTATTCATTTCAATTTATTAACCATAATATGAAGAATTATTTTGTAAAGTTTGTTATATTAATTGTCATCTAATTTCCATTATTTATAAGATCTATAAAGTGTATTGTGATTCATCATACGGAAATCAGATTGTAAGTATTTTCATGAATGTATAAAAATATGTTTTAATGCTGCATGTGTTAAGGTTGTAATATCTTGTAATCAAGCACGCTTAAATCCGGATAACCGGTTGACCAGTGTAAGTCGGCTTGTCTCTATGGCAGAGTCTACATACCTGTCAATTGATAATACCGCAAACTTACATCTGAAAGCCTCCAACCACTGACGAGTAGCGGTTTGTGATACCTTGCACTCGATTCTTATATTAGCGAAAAGAGGTTACGTTTAAAGATTATCTGCGGTATCACTTCGGTGGAAGCGGACGTTAAATAAAGCTATTTCACGCACGCGTATAAAGTCAATGGTTAATTCAATGAAATTTTTATCACCTTCATCGTCAGGAAACAAAATTTACCAGGATTTTTTTTTCTGTATTTGAAAATGGAATTTATGTTAATTGAGGGAATTTCTGTAAATTACAGGAAAAACAAATACGGATAAAATTTTCCTGGTAATTTTTGTTTCCGGAAATTTTTACTTTTTTTCACGGAAATTTTTGTTACAGTGTGTGTGCTTTAATTCTCTATTGCATTCTTTAAAGTGAAATAAATGCAATTACATCATGACAAATGCCATCTACATGTAACCAACAGTTCTTCTTTAATCGAAACGATCAATATAATAGTTAACACTTTTATTTTTTGAAAATTGAAGTAAGAAAACTCGTTGGCCTTCTACCGCACAAGAGCATGGTATATTTCTTCAATAGTTCATGATGTTTTCAGCATAGTATATTCAAGAACAAACATTCAGAATCTGGTGATGTATTTCCGTTATGCA